ATATATGAAAGATCTCAGAGTAAGAAGATATTAAGTTAGCAGGAAAAAAGAGGGGAGTTTAAAAAACTACCACAAGATTCCAATCCCAAGAGCCTACCCTAGGCCATGTCATATCAACCGTGGACCTAGAAAAGGATAATTAAATAGTAAGGAGATTGCTACATAGAGTGGTCTAAGCGACCCCTTTAATAATTTGAGTGGTTGGAGAAGACTGAGTGCCAGAACTTCAGGTTACCTGCTGGAAACAGGCTTGGACCAGGTTTTCAGGGAAGAGATTTCGGATAAGATCCAAGAAGGCATCCAGGCTAGAGACCTCATCATTCTTCTTCCCAGGTCCCAGCTGCTTCTTGAGCTTGGGATTCCCAGGGTGGATGGCTAAGACCAGGATGACACCCAACACAGCAGCGATGACCGTCGTGGACATATAATATACCATGGCTCTCGTCCCTAAGCGACCACTGGCTTTAGCATCCAGGCCTGACAACCCTGCGCAGAAAAGAAATCCAGAAGAATTAACTCTGTTCTGTGTCTGCTCATGTCCCTTCTCTCCACACCTATCACTCTGGGCTTCCTATTACTCAAATGCACTCATGGTCAACTAAATCTAGTACTCAATGTTTGACCAATTCTTCAATTAACTATGCCATTTATTATTTTCATGGTTATTTTTAAGATTCTTGAGAAATGGGAAGAACAGAATTTTCATACATTTTTGTCACTGTGCAAGAGTGACTTAAAGTTGAAGGTCTTTCATTTTCAATTGTCATCGGATGTCCCCTATATTGTCACATCATCTTTATTTTATAAAGTGGTGTTGCTGGTGCACACTACTTTCCATGTCTATTGGTATTACTTAATGTTCCAACTTAGGAAAATGAAAAGATGGTAGATCCAAGGGAGGCTCAAAATACCCTTTGAGTACTTCACTAGCCACTGAAATGCAGAATCTGAGAATGAGGACTCAGCAGCGCTTTCTCATCTGTCTGAAACAAAGCCTGATGTTTGTCATTTCCCAACCTCATGTGAGGATCAGAAAACAGGTGCATAAGGCAGCAGTGGTGCCTCATCTGTACCAAGGGAGGCTAGAGGAAATTCCAAGCAAGTCACAAAAACTCCAGCCTCACTGATTTTTTTTCCAGTTGTTTTTCAATTTGTCCACTTCCTGATTTCAGTTCCTTCTTTTGTTAGACAGAGAGAGACTGGGCCTCTTTTCTTGGGATCCATTCTCTTTGCTGTGGGGGAGAAGTCATTGATGCAAACTTCTCTGAAACTGACCCATAGATGACTTCCTTTTCTTTACAAACTATGGTCTAATTCTGGCCAATGAAAGTCGGGTTTCCTGAACAGCTTGGCATGCACACAGTCTCTTCAACAAGTGTAGAGATGATTTTTTTCTGACTTGGAAAGAAGCATCTGAGGCAAAAACAGTTTTGTTCAAGCTAGGAGTGATTGATAGGACCCCAATGAGCCCATGAACACTTGATCCTGAGCTCCAGCCTTGCTAGTCACTAGGTTCAGTGGTTGACTATCTATGAGACCTTAGAATGACACAGAGCAACATCTGAATCTCTTGGGCTAACTGGGCTTCACTTCCTGTGTAAGGTGGACAGTCCAGAGGGCAACTTCTCAAGGTGGCATAGCTAATAGGCACCCATATATGGACCAAGGTCCAGCTTCCAATCCGTAACTCAAGAGTTATTCTCAGAGCCGGCGAGAGAGCTCAGCAGACTAAGCACCTGCTTTGACAAGCGCAAGGATGAGGGTTCAATCCCTTGTCCCACATGCCACACTAGGCCCACTTCCAGGGCCCAAGGGGCTGGCAACTGAGTCTGGATGTGGTGGTGCACACCTGTAATCCCAGTGCTGAAGAGGCTGAAAACAGGAGGAACACTACAAGTTTGGGCTGTGTAATGAGACCCTGTACCAAATACCTAAATGAAAACAAAGCAACAAAAAAGAGCTATTCTCTATAAACACCAACCAGTGCCCTGATGAAGCAATATTATTTTGGAAGGAGGAAATTAATAGTATAAACCTATGGCAAGGGGAGAAATGCTCTTAAATAATTAATCCTTTAAGTCTAAATAAGCAAGCATGATGTCACACATTAAGGACACCCTTGTCCTAAAACATTCAAAGGGCTTTCATGTCTAACATTTCATTTATTTTTAATGTTCACCACTCTCCATACCCAATGAAATAATAAAGGCACCATCCTTTTCCATGTGTTAACTTCATCAGTTTGTAAATAAAACATACTCTACAAAATTGAAAATGTGTACATTAAAAATTAAAATCACGGGAGATATCACTTTGACACGTGGCTGTCTCCCTTTTCTTTTTTGTGGTTTGAGAGAAGGATGGGCTGGCCAACAGATGACAAGGACATTTTTCTTTGGGGGTTGATGATTCCCCCTTTTTAGGGACAGGGAAATCAAAGCTTTGATGTGAATGACACAGATGATCTCATTGACTCAGCTGATCTGAGATTCCAGCACAGGACAATGATTCCTTGTGGAGAGACTCCCGAGAGGTGGGCTTACCTGTGATTAAGCTGGAGATGATGAGGGGAAGAATGAGCATTTTTAGCATCCTCATGAGTATGTCCCCCGGGAAGGCTATCAACATAACCACATCAGGGTGGATGGGAGAGGCCAAGCGAAGAAGCCCTCCACATACTGCCCCCAGGATGACACCTACAAGGAAGGAGAAAAGAGGGGAAATCTGAATCTCTCTCGATTTTTTGCCCCAGTCAAATGAATAGTTCTGTGGACTTTTCTTGGTGAAACTGACCTTTCTCATGCTTCTGATTCATGAAATGATTAATAACATCCAATAAAAATGTTAGTTAAGTGAAACTGATTTGACAGCTAGAACTATTCCAGCTTGGTGTGTTGGACGAATCGAGGGGAGCCTTCTAAAAGTGGGGTGGGAAAGAAGATGTGGCCCCAACCTATTACGACTCAGGACAAATGAGATCTTGTACTGTAACGTCATGGAACTCAGTAGTGTCCCAAATTTTCTGATCAAGGAGATTATGGGGCCAAAGAGGAAAGTGCTCGATGACGTAGAGTGTGCCTAAGGAGAGTCACATGGAGAGAAAAACATTCTCTCAGGCTTTCATGAGGAGCACACTGGCCAAGCAATGGTCGTGACTCATCCACATGGCTGACACTGACAAAGGATCTACAATCTGAGGTACAGGATCTCAGGAAAAATCCTGAGGGGATTTGACTGACCTTCTCAGATCCAAAAGCTACAACTCTTGTTACATAGGTCTTGCTTTATCTTGGTCTTACCCATCTAGCAGAAAAGTATAAAAACGTAGTACAAGAATAAAGTCATGTTGTTATGTTGAGCTGTAGGGGACTCAGGTTAACAATTTCTGACATTGCCAGTCAAGCAGAAGACCCTATACTATTATGGATTACTGGACTCTTTTAGAATATTTTGCTGAGTTAACACACCTATAATATTCAAAAGATGGAACTAAACAAAAAAGGGGATATGTAAATGAATGTCCATTTTGTATCTGTGTATTCAAAATGGTTTGGATAGATATATAGTTACATTCTCTTAATGAATAGAGGGATTTGTTCTAATGGTGTTTGTAAATAAGGTATCATGTCTGCATCTTGTACAGCAAATAACCACTTGGAAGACAGTATGCAATATGTTAATTATTGAAACTGTCCTACCAATTTGATTTGAAATTGTCTCATTGGTATTTGTCAATAAAATTATGGAAAAAATTTTAAAAATGAAAAAAATAAATAAAATTTATCCTCAGGGGGGAAAATAAATATAAATAGACACACACACGCACACACACACACACACACACACACACACACAAAAGATATTGCAGCATCAGAGACTTTCAGTAGCAACAACTTGCAGTGCCTCATGTGGCTTCTTCTTCCAGCCCAGGTCTGGCCACATGGCTGGGCTATTAAATGTGTCATCCATTTTTAACTGGAGTCTAAAATAAAATGTTTGATTGACCAAATGACTGCAAATCCCCATCTATCTATTTTCTCTGCCAATCGATTCTTCATGGCTTATGCTCCAGATCTGTCTTTGACATCAGGCTCCTTTAATCAATCCCTAGACTTACTGATGGTATGGAAGCTCAAGGAAGGACTTTCAAACTCTGTACTTTTAGCAGAACTAAGTTAGCCAGAGATATCACCAGGAACTTTTCCCTTTACAGACACACAGGTCCTGACAGAAAGACTTTAGATCTTTGAAAATGGATGGCCAGCGAAAAAAACAGCCGGGGACCATAATAAGGCCATAGCCCACTGGTTACAAAGGAGGGAAGGAGTTCCCAGGTCTGCTTTAGAATGAATTCCAGAAATGTGGAGGGAGTGACATGACTAGATATCTGATCTTATTTCTTCCACAAATATAAATCATAGTTCAGCTTTTCAAAGTCCTGTGCTAAATGAGAGCTGCTCACATGGAGGAGGACCTTTGGAGCACCTACCCCTGCTTATGCTTTCCTGGGACTCCATGAACTAAGCTGCATAAGTTCCCCATCTTGACCCTGACCCAATAGAAGATAAGACTGGCTCAAAGGAGAGGCCACAGGACGGAGGGTGCGTGGGCGGGTGTGGGGTCAGTGGTGACCAGAGCGACACAATGGGTTGTCACTACCTCCCCATGTGGCTAAACAGAGAGCTGAAGAACAGAGAAGAAACTGAGATGGGAGATGGTGTGGCTGGCCTTGCAAGAATCTGCAGTATAGCTCAATGTCTAGAAAACCTGGTGGAAAATTCAACACTGAGACTGTATCAAGTATCCACACACAAGAAGCACCATAGGGTGAGGGAGGGAGCCAGGAAGGAAGCCTTTTGAATAGAAGCTGGATGGATCAACATATAAGGACAAATCTCTACACTGACCTCTTTAGGTAACATGCCCCATCAATCTAACCTAACAATGCTTCTGCAGAAAGGCAGAGCCTGCCTCCTTTTAATGGCATTCTCTGCAATGGTCACCCTAGCTTGGGACAGGTATTTCTCTAAACTGATCCCCTCACTACCTAATTGGAATCAGTTTAAGGCTTGCTAAATGTGGATTCCTGGACCTCCCTACCGATGGGCTGAGGCTATCTCCATGGGGATGGCCTAAGAATCTGCATGCTGACCCACTCACTAGAAACCATATGTGCAAAGTTGAAGACCCACTCGGACCCAAAAGAGGAGGGCACACAGCTGCGGTAGGTGGATTGGGGAGGCTGATTCCATAGCAGCAGCCACACCTTGGCCAATGGGGCACTGGACACAACAGGCCTGGTGCTCAGCCCGGCTCCCCCACAGAGGCAGGAGAGCACCAGAGAGGAGGGGCTGGGGGCTCAGGCACCTACCAAACACCGTCAGTGTGAGCAGGAGGTTCTTCCCCAGCTTGTCACACAAGCGCAGGCCCAGGTGTCGTTGCTTCGGCTCCTCTGAGCTGAGATGGCTGTCGTGCATGCGCACTTCCACTTGCTTGGGCATATTGTTGGCACTGCAATGGAAGGGGAGCAGTGGTTAGAGACTGGGCACCACAGCTATACAGTGTCAGGGCCTTAGGTCATAGTGGCCTGCCTGCTCCCATGGGGATGAAAAAACGACACAGGGCACTCTGGATTCCAGGCTACCTGCAAGCAGGACAACAGGACTCACCAACCCCCTGTGTGTCAAGTGCTTTGATTCCCATGGTTGAGATACTCATGGTAAAGAAACAAAGGAATCCCCCAAGCAGTGAGTGATGGGTTCTCCCAAGAGCTGGGCCCCAGCGCTGACTCTGGGAGGGAAGTTGCCCCATGCCTTTCATAGAGGATAACTGCTGAGGGTCGCAAGGCCAGAGAAAATAGGGATCCACATCCAGGTATGTCTGGCTTCCAAATCTGAGCTCTTTCATTCTTTTAACAACAGCAAAAAGGTAACAGTTTTGGAGAGCAGCAGTCTGAGTTATACCAAAATGAAAAGACCTCCACGCTCCAGCTTTCTATGTCCTGTAAAAGCCACAGATGCCAAGAAGCCAAGTCTTACCTCTCTTTCGAAAAGGGCAGTTTATCCAGAAAGCTCAACCTACTGTAATTTTTAAAAGGTCATTATACCATCAGGACTCTGCCAAGCTGCCCCCAAGCCAAGACCACTGAGAGTCAAAGGAGTAGTTTCCCAAACATTTCGATTGTTTTATTTCACAGATGCAGCTCTGCTCTGTTTTGGTTAAACTCAAGGGTCCGCAAGCCATCTTGGGAGTCTGCTGAGTGGCACCCTGGGCAGGGGAATGGGGACACTGCCCCTTCCCCAACTTTGTAACTTCCCAGGCCAATGAGATTCCTCAAGTAAGCATGGGGTACTGACATGGGGTGTCAGCATTTTACTTTGGCATCTTGGAACATCTTTATAGCTGCCATTTACAACCACCATCGTTTGATTTTAAAAAAATAAGGTAAATCTGGGGTGGGGAGATAGCTCGGCAGTCTCACTGCCTGCCTGGCAAGTGCAAGGACCCAAGTATGATCCCTGTACCACATGCCATGCAGCCTGGGACCTGCCCTGCCAGCCCTGAAACCAGGCGTGGTGGCACACGCCTAGAATCCCAGTGCTGGGGAGGCTGAAACAGAAGGATTACTAAGATTCTGAACTGCATAGCAAGACCCTGTACCAACAAAATATAAAATTAATTAATTAATTAAAATTTTTGAAAATGGAAAGCTTTTAGCATCTGGAAAGGCAGGTTACTGTCCTTGGGTAGATGACAGGCTGGTGTCTTCCAAGATATTCTCACCACTGACTGTGCCAACTTTCCTCTCTGTAGACTGGGAACCATCACTCATAGTGGGAACAGTGTGGGCTTTAAGATCAGAGTGGTGGCTTCAAATCCTGACTCCGTCACATGTTAGCTGTGTGGTGTGTTGAAAAAATAGTGTGATATGTACTACATGAAAGTTAAACAATCATGTGCTAGCATTGTGCTTGATGTGGGAAATCTTTTGTCCATGGAACATGAAGAAGAGATATTACTTGTCAAGTCTCCAACAAGGATGACATGCAATCCAGCTGACCTACCCAACTATACTACTATTACAACAAAATGCCAAGAAAGTAACTTCCACTCCTAGAGTGAAGACAAGGGACTCAAATACAATGCTATGATTGACTTATTTTTTCACAATTGGCTGCTTAATATACTTGCTCCCAAAATGCTTTAAAATTGGGAATAATCTTGCATGATTCTGTAGCATATTCAGATGAAAATGTTAGTGAAAAAAATGTAAGCTTGCTAGTCTCCATATCCATCCATTTAGTGGACATTTGAGGCCACTGTTGGTATCACAGATCAAGAGTTACATGTGTAGGCACTAATGGTCAATCAGAACTCCTAAAAAAGAAAATAGGAGATGTGTGCTCACAGCCTGAGGACAGGAACAGTGAACAACCCATATCACTTCTGCCTCCTGCCAAGTAAAACAGACAGAAAAGTACTTTTTATGACATAGAAGAACAAAATAATCAAATTAATTATTTTTTTGATGAGGGTAGCCCATATTTCTAAGTATACGGTGGGTATTTTTCCATATTTAAATGTTTCTCCAGCCAATACTGTCACATGAAGCTCTAAATCAGAAGACAGGCAACAATGAAGAGAGGTCGTGTATGTTCTGCAGTGTTTTGGGTGTTCCTTAACAGTTCTTGGCAAAGCTCTATGGCTTCCCTTGAAATAGTTAATAGCCTTGTCTTCTGCTTCCAATTGAATGGCATCCCTCCTGCCATTGAAATTAGAATCTCGTGCATGGTTGGTATTTAAGTGAGACTGGCAAGTACTTAAACATTCTGGCAAGGTTCATGCGATGTAAGGAAAGCTGCAGGCATCAAAACAGCCATGCCAAAGTGAAAACATGCAAACATGAGGGGAACATATACACCCAGCCCTGAGAAGTGGTTGGAGGCCTGTTCCACACATTTCTTAGTTGTACAAAACTGCTGTCCATTTAGTGGTTTGCTTTTTAGGCCATGACAAAGTGTCCCTGAAGCCCTCAATCAAATCAGCCACATCAAAGTGACAGCATCAAAACATCATGAACCCACAGGTATTTATTGGGAGAATTCCTGTGACTGGCCCCTCTTGAATTAAACAGATGTTTCACGCTTCTAAGAGTGTCTCACACACGTACATTGGCAATCATTTTTTAATTGCTGGTGGGACATAGGAAGTCTACCCTCCCCCCCAAAAAAAAAACTCTTTGTAAAAAATTCTGAGCCAACTTAACTAATCACTACTTCTGCCGGAACACAAGGAGATCTTGAAATGGAGAACACTATGTAATACATTGTACAGCATTGTATAACATAATATAGAGCTGTTTCTAGGCTTACATACCTTCAAGAGAGTAAATATCATGATGAAAATGCATGCCACACACAGCTATACATGCTGGTTACTGAACGCAGACAGAAGCAGCCACAGTAATGGGGAACGTGCACTTAATGACCACTCTACGCATAAGACACCACGCTCAGTGATGAGGAAGGTACAATCCTCATTCCTAAGCCCCTGCTAAGGAAGGGAACATCTGCCTGTCCCATGAGTAGTGACAAAATTCTGCAAATGATGTCAAGGGAAACTTAGGCAGAAGGGGTTCTTGAGAAGGGCACCCAGGGGGCCTGATTTCTAACATGGATATTAGTGAAGGAATTTAGTTTCATTTAGACGTCTGCAGCTGACACCACTGCACCCTGAGAAGAGAACTGTGATTTTTAATACCTAGTACTTAGTCCTTATAAATTTTGCTAAAATAAGGTAAGAGTTTCTCAAGAGTACCTTGCTTTCTCCTGGGAATGAAGCCCCTCTAGCGATAGGCTGGCAGCATATATATCAGCAAGCCCTTACCCCTTGTGCATTTACTGCATGAATTACCATTGGCCACGTACAGAATTCTGCCCTAGTCTAGATGCTAAAAATAGTGTAGAAAATGAAAAAGACAGTCTTGCTCCCAGGAGTAGACATTGTAGAAGGAGAACAAGTATGTGCACAAATCTTTTACAAACAGCAATAAGTAGCAGGAGGAAGGTAAAGGCAGAGGAGAACAGGACATGAAGAAGTCATGCAATTCTATACCAAGGGGCCAGGGCCAGTTTCTGCAGTAAGGGAACATCTGAACACAAACCTGGCAGAAATAAAGGCTCTCCTCAAATCAATTATGCAGTCCGTCCATAGCTTATTAAATAGAGAATAAATGCAGTATGGAATTCGGTATGTCCACCCCAAGAGCCTCAATTCCTCACCAGATGCAGCCTCTGATGTGCACATGATGGACTTTAGGAAAAATACTGATCACACGTGCCCTTCTGGGCCCTGTCAGCATCATGAATATGATGGGGTTTCAAAGAGTGTGCCCAGATTAAAGAGGAAGAAGTGGTTACTGCCAGGTGAACTGGACACAAGCGGAGGCCCGAGTCTTCTGTAGCCTAAGGCTTTGTTTCCATGGCAGTGGGGTGAGCGGGCAGGACTCAGGCTGGTCAGATCTCCGGGATAAACATGCTAAGTCCTTTCCAGCTTGCATCCTTCAGCTCTTATTGATACTTTCTACATTCTGTGGCTGTGCAGACAAAATAAAGCAATGAGGAATTTTAATGCCCAGGCTATACCAACTCCACGGAGTTCCCTGACACTGTCGGCTGCCTCTAGTTCTACCTGAGTACTTCCTGGGTGGAGGAGTTAGCAATGATGAAATTCTAGAACACAGAAAGCATCCGTAGGCCAGGTCTACCAGACCTCTTCAATGGCCTCCATGGTCCCACAAGGTAAGGCTATGGATGAGAGAGCTCTTGGGAGAATTAAAACCTTTGACAATGTGTCTATGATGTCCTTGAGCCTTAGCCTTGCTACTGAATTATTTAAACAGCTGTTAATTTTCCAGCCACTGCCTCATTTCTTCTCACCCAAATCCATGTGAGCCTTTTTTTTCAATGGGATGCTTAGCATATCGTGTAAATTACCCTCTGCGACTCAAAGAAGCCATGTAATGGTGCTCTTAGTAAGTTTCCAACTACTCTCAGGGTCTGCTTTTCATTAGCGTTTGATTTGCCTCAGTCTGCCAAGAGCCTCTAATAACAGGCTCATTAGATGTGGTGCTGGAGTCAAGACTTCCTGTTGCATGCTCCACTACTGCCTCAGTGGGCACCAATTCTTTTGGCCTCCTTCACGGGCTGGGTGAGGTGGCGGCAGAACATTCCCCCAGGGAACCCCAAAGCAGGTTCACAGTGGGTCTCACTCATCCGCCGCTCCACTACCCAAGTTTGAACCTCAGCTTGAGAACTTAGGGAAATACAGGGGGATGCAGAGATGTCCAGAAACTGTCCCTGCAGAGATATTAAGACAATCAAGAACAACAATAAGACAGTCAGGGTACTTGATGAAGAAGACTGGAAACACAGGAGGTGTCAACTTTGAGCTCTGGGTACCATTCAATGGTGACTATAACTACAACTGTCTCACCTGTTGCATTTCTCCAA